CCACCACAGACAAGCAAGTAAACTGAAATGAATACTACACAGTCTTAATCAAGAAAGATTTCTGATTAGCAAGTTTTGCAATTAAATTTACACAGATTTTATTTTTCATGTAATAGCAAGGCTGAAGACTATTTTGTTTGTGATTTTCTTTTTAAGACTAAAATCCCAAAGTATCCTGTATAGTCCAAAGAGCAGAAGATGCCTGTTACAGTGGACCTGCTGGATCCTGCAGATGCAGAGTCAGAGGTATTAGATGCTATCCCATAAAACCACCATGAGAACACAATTCTTTTGAGAGAAAGAAATCTGTCAGAGGGTTGAAGAACATTTTCTTTTATTTCGGGGACAGAGTTTTGATTAAAAAAAAAAAAAAGCCTTCAACATGTGCTAAATAGGCTTAATTTTTGATGGTCCTTGGGCTTTATTTTGTCTGCCTTTCTGATACCGAGCTCATGGTTTGAAATTGTAATCTCCAGTTGTCCCACTAGTTCTTTCAATATTATATATGTTGTGTCAGTGCTGGAAGGTTAAAGATTTGAGGGAGCTCTGTTTGGACTGAGTGCAAAACCAGAGATGTTCAGATTTTGCTAGTTATTACTGAAAGCAACACTTATATTGGTTTATTTTGGCCTCGGAAACACTAAATTTGCACAAAACCCCACTCTTTTTTTTTTTGTCTGGGTACAGTTCCAAGCAGGGGGTCACATTTCAGGTGAGTGGGAAGTGAGGATAGTGTGTGAGATCAGAATTACAGATACATAGGCTTGTGTGACCTCATACTGATTGCCCCCAAAATAAATCTGTCTTACCACTTCTGTTGGCTTTGGTGATTTTCAATGACAATCAAGTACCTAAACTCCATTCTTGATATTTTCATATAAATAAACCTCACCACATATTGAAATTCTCACCCCTCCTCATTCAATTGCTTTTGCTTAGTAGTTACCTTCTTTGACATTACAATGTGAAAACACATCTTTCTTCACATTTCCTTCTTGCTAGAGACAGCAGAACCACCCATGCACCTCAGAATATGGCAGTGCAGACATAAGGTGTGTTTTTCCACTGAGTATCTTACTGTGATATTTCTCAGATTAAATTTTTTTAGACAATTTTAGAGAGTGTTAGAATATTTTAATTTTAAAATAGTGATTTCCTTAATCTGCAGATTTTTTTTCCCTTAAGATAAAGGATAGTAAGGAATCTTTTGGGTATTAAGGCCTGTAATGAACCCATGATGTCCCACAGATCTTTTTGCATGTTTCTGCATATTTGTCTCAAATTGAATAACCAGCACATACCCTACCTTTCATTAAAAGTTCCCCCAGGACTTTGTACGGGGTAACACATCTCTGTCTTGATTCTAGATGATGCATTCTCTGAGTCCATTTGCCCTTTGTGCAGCTATCAGACTTTTCCAGCTCATGACCATCCCAGGAACAGCAAGTATTTCTTTGTCTTAGTTCCTAATGATTTCCAACTAATGAGCTATGAATCTTTGTTACTGATTTCCCAATAAATTACATTGTGTTCTGTAGTGATAAATTTAATGTCAGTCCCAAGGCTGCACAGTTATTCCAAACAGCGTTCAGACATTTTAAACCAACTTCTAACAAGAAGTAAGAAAATAATGACACAGCAAAAAAAAAAATATCTTACAGTTTGTTTTATTGTTCCAGTTGTTTATCCTAATTTCACTCATTAGTCTGACATTTATTTCCTTCCTTTATTTTTCTAAGAGAAAAGTGATTTTGCTGAAGACATGGTATAAGACAATGAAAAATTGGAAATTTGAAAACATGCAGTTATTGAAGTAGAAATAAATAACATTTATTATTTCATAATAAAACAGGAGCTTTTACTGAAGAAATGCTATCTGAAAAATCGTATTGGTATCTTCCCAGAAAAGGCTTAATCACGATAAAGTGATTTATTATTCTAAGAATTTAATACATTAAACAAAGAAAAAGATTTAGAAATTATAATTCTCATATATACCATGGATAAAAGAATAAAAAAAAAACCCTCCTAAAACGCTGTGGAGGAAAAGAAAATCTGACCATGAAGGACCTCTAGTGGTGCCATCAAAAAACCCTTGACATTATGCTTGCTCAGCATTTTAGAAAGAATCACTTCTGCAGTTTCAGATTATGACTTATCATTGTTATCTACTTTTATCACCTATTCAAACTTATGATTTTCTCAGCAAGGAATAGCCTGATAAGATACACTGAAATGAAACTGTTTAGCAAAAAGGAGTTGACACCAGATGAGGATACCAGAGCTATGTCTGTCTCTTATTTGTTATGTCTTTGCTAATTCTTTTATTTGTTCTCAGCTCAGAAGTTTGGGTTGTTGTTTTTTTTTAAGCAGCAAAAAAAGCTATGCTGGTACTTTTAACTTATCCTTCACCCATTCTAGAGATATCCAACTAAAAGAAATACTTGGATTCTTAGTTCCTTTCAGTCACACTTCAAAATAATTTGATACTTTAGACAAAACTTTTGAATACGAATAATTAATTTTTAAAGAACATAATAAATGTATTGCTAAAAATTCTTAGTCAAAAAGGAGATATATACCTACTAGTTAGTCTAGGGGCCCATTAAGCTTCCAAACACATCCTTCCTGCAGATAAACTAGAGTCATTCCCAGAGATTTCACTCATCCTGGAAAAGACACAGTAGACTATGTTTGTAGAGCACCAGGAACAGAGTTTCTGTTGCACTGGTGGGGCGGCACAGGGGAGGGGTAATATCAGTTCTAGGCTGAAGGAAGGGTGTGTGCAGGGCCCGTCAGCCTGGCTGGCACACACTGCAGGCACCTGGGTCTCTTCACTGGCAGGACACAAACCCAGGGGCCAACAAAGATCCAGAAAGATACGGCCACAATCACACACGGGACAGACCCTGAATTATAGTAAAGCAGCAGCCTGAAGCAGGAGCAGCTGAGCATGAAGTCATGTTTAGACATCTCAGATATCTCTGCATTCATGGCCATGTTGTCCACAAGCCATAAAAATTGCCTGTGATAGCAAAGTTTATTACACTTTGCAATGAACTTAGTCCCCAGAGTCTAACTGAGGGCACTTTTAACAGTTATTGTTGCTGGGGTTTTTTTTATTTTTGTTGTTGTTGTTAAAATTTAATTTAAAAAGAGATCTCAGCCTATTTAAACTCTTTATTTTGTTTCATATTTTTAGAGTTCATAGACACCCCTCTGGCATTGCAACCTTTCTGCAGTTGAGCAGCTCCAGGGTAAGGCTCTGGCCTGGCAGTGTCTTTCTGGTGTGAGGCTGCTGCAGCCTTCCTGTAGCAGGAATTCCAAGAGCTGAGCTTAAATGGAGATAAAAAGCACCAAAGACATGATTCCCCATCTGTGGAAAACTGGCAGCAGATTGCACACATAGGGTGAATAAATGTGAAGACTATAGTACCCAGTTGTGGAACTCAGATATGACTAAATACACAGGGCCTGATAAGGCTGCTTCTTTTAAAGTTTTTTTAGGTTAGGTTGTGAAGAATCAGCATGACCTGATTCATAACTATCTGAGACTAATCTTGACAGACCGATTTCTTGCAGGAGTCACAGCAGGATTTTTATTGGATTAGGAATTCAAAATTAAAATACTAGTAAACTATTCTGTTATAGAAGTGAAGGGAAAATACATAAAATCTCAGTGTAATAAAGAAATGGGTACATATATGAAAAATATAGAAATATATTTATTAATTCTTTTAAAATATATAATTATACAGCTTTTCTTTCATAATGACCTTTAACATTACACCATCACAGAGTCAAAGAGGGTATTTGGGGTCCTCTCCCATGTAGCCAATACCTTAGTGGTTACTTAAGCCTGAGCCGTTGGGGTAAGGCGAGACTAAAATTCATCTTCGTTAATGACAAGTATGTGGAATTGTAAAGATAACCTGAAAATGAAACAGTAATGACTCTTTGACTCTCCTAAATCTAATCCTACGAGGATCAATTTGAGTAGTAGCATAGGGAAATAAACGGAATTTGGATGAGAGAACCATGACAGAGAAAAACATGTCTGAAAAAAAATGTTATGGTGTTGGGACGAGTAAGATTGAATGTGGTGCTCTGCAGGGAAAAGCTGAGGGTAGAGACCAATAGTGTCTTGTGGCAGAAAATCCCTTCTGCCGGCTCAGCGAGGACACTGATAAATATTTGACCCAATGAGGGCAGAAGATTTCTCTTCCTGGAGACACCTTGGGGGTTCAATTCCATCATCTGTGACACATACATCACTAGAAGTACTGTTAAAAAACCCACCAAAGTATGCAAAATGTCACCAGGTTCTCCAGGTGAGTTGGAGTGTCCTGAGATGTGGGTGAAGACAAACAGGATGTAAAAAATCCTGCGGCTTGGGAAAGAAGCAGCAAAGAAGTGGGAGTTGGAACGTTAGAAGACTCGAGGCTGCGCAGAAAGCTGCGAGAAGTTGAACTTGAAGAGTATACAGTAACTGTTACTGCTGTAACTGGCAGATGCGCCGGAACTGCCCGCACACCAACCACCTGCTGCCGGCCTCCCACAGCCCTCGGGCTCGATCCCTGCGCAAGGGATGGGGTAAAGTAGCCCTGCAGGGACTCGCACCGGGGCACCGGGCTGGGCTGCTGCTCCGCGGGAGCCCCGCGGGAGAGCGGGAACACTAGCTTGGCGTTGGCGCTGCTGAAGGCCGTCACTTGTGCCACCTAGACCCAGCGGTTGAAGGAAACTCCAGGGCCGGAGCGCGCCCAGAAGCAGCAACATCGGGAGAGCTCCCATCCCACGCCCCAGCACGAGCCGTGCCCCTCCCGGGGGCGGCCCCTCGGCGGGCACAAAGCCGGGCTCGGCCGCTGCCCGGGGAGCACTGTGCCGCTGTCCCGGTGCTGTGGATCATCCCTTCCTTCCGCCGGGTGCCGCCTTCGCAGCGCCCGCCCTCCATCGCTCCTTGCTCGCTGCCGGCGGGCGCGGGGCCGGGGCAGCGCCGCGCCATGGAGGAGGCGGCCGCTGCTGCCGGGGCACAGCCGCCCGCGGTTGCTGTTGCTGCTGGTGATGCTGCTGGGGCCGAGCCGTCGCCCGGGGCCGCCGCCTCTCCGCGCCGGCTCTTGACGCTGCTCGGAGCCAAGCTCTGCACCTGGTGAGTCCCCGGCCTCCACGTGGAACCGCGCGGCGCCGGCCTCCCCGCCCGTCGGCTTCCGGGCCGCCCGCCGGAGCGGGGGAAGGAAGGGAGGAGAGGGGAAGCGCCCTGGCTGCTCGGGACGCTTCGGCGAGCAGCGCGGTCGGGATGCGGAGGCCGCTCTGTGCCGCCGTGAGCAGCCGCGGGTTGCCTGGGCCGGAGCGGCCGCCGCGGTGCGGGCCCGGGGTTAGGGCCGGGGGACGCGGGGCTGAGCAGAGCCCGCACCCTTCGGCCGGCCCGGCATACGGGAGCCCGGGGAAACTCTGGCCCCTGCCCCCGGAGCGGGTGCTCTGATGCTGGGGCTGCTCCGGGAGCGCCGCCGGGCTGCAGCCTGCGGATGCTGCTGGGCGAGAGCGCTCCGGGTAGCCTCGGCTGAGCGTGGAATTAGCGAGTGATGTTTTGGCACTGTTGAAGTAGGACTTTGCTCTCACACATAAACACGTGTATTCATCTTTTTGTTCTTCTGTTTTCCATTTTTTTCCCTGCGCTTTATCTGTTTTGTAGTCTTCGATCAGCTTCTTTATGAAGGAAGGATAGGTCATGGGGAATAGCGGAGGTAATAGGACAAAATAACTGAAATGAGGCGTGGAGTCGAGAAAGACCAATATCCTCATTTCCTCCTTCTATGAATCAGCTTATGTTAGAGACCCGTTCAGGTATATCTCTTGAAATATGAGCACTAGTTAAGCATGGAAAACTTGTGGAAAAAAATTTGCCAATCTGTGCAGACAAGTTGGTACTTAAGAAGCACTGCCTTCCAGGAGAGCAGGACTACATCCGTAGACTTCTAGGTCACTTACAGTTTCACTTTCCCTTTAGAGGGGAAAAACAGTTCCTGTTTAAAAAGCTTTTTTTGAGCTGTAAGTTTGGTCACTAATAGTTACTGCATCGGATTTGTCAGCCAAGGATGTGCTGGCTTTCCTGCCAGCCTTGTGCTCATAAACTGTAATGTGGTTGCTGGACTACGTAATGGTGTGTGCTGGCCAAGCAGAGCCTTAGTCCAGTGGACAAAGCCTCATCTTCTCTTTTGGTTATAATTTTTTCTCTTTTCACTCCTTCTGCCTGTCAGGAGAGACCCAAAAGGCAAGACAGAAACTTGTTGAGTTGTTCAGTAACCTCACTTATACCATTAGTTTTGCCAAAGGGCTACACTAAGTGAGTCTGTGGGAGGTACTTGAAAGAAAATCAGTAGCTTTCACTGAATTTTATGAAGTGTTTTCTGAGATACTGAACTGATATTTTTCTTTTTTTTTTTCCTCCAGGTGATAGCAGGCTCAGCCACTTCAGTTTTGTTAGAGGCCCTTCTGAGTCGTAGGAAGGTTTAATAGTTGTATATAATAAACTAGGCTGGGTCTGGGTTTTGTTGTGGGGTTTTTTTTTCCTTTTTTTTTTTTTTCATTTGAGTAGAACCATTAGAAAATAGATCTCTGGTGCTTTTCTGTTTCTTACCTCTTGCAAATTAAGTTGATGTCAGTTTCAAAGCAGAACATGGAAAAACTAACTTCTGGTGATGTTAGTTCTTAAAAATATATTCTGCTGTTATTAGTTAATTACTAATTAAGTTGCAATATGGGTTCGGTCTGAACCTGCATTTTCCCTTAACCACTAGCATGAAAAAGTGAGATCATTGGAATTAAAAGGTCACTTCCTCACCTGTTTAGGAAGAGTTCAGTAGTTAAAGCCAAGTGCAAGTAAACTCTGTGCATGGACAGTGTTGCCAGGCTTTGCCATGACAGTATTAGATTGGTGGCATAAATAAGATGAATATTTGAAAATCTGTATTTATTATAAGTTAAAAATTCACATTAAAATTACAGGATTTGGTAAATTAATTGCCATTAAAATTGTTGGCTATGGTCTGACTAAATTTTCTTTTAACTTCCTCCAGTATAGACTCTGACTGTATTTTCGTATCTTGGTGTATTTCTTATTCTGCATTTCACATGGAGCCAAGGAAAGTCAGTCTGACTTGCTCATGATGTTGAGAGCCGCACATTGTTCAGTGTTCATTTTAGACCAATTTGTGACAAACTTTCATGCTCTAACAAGTCCCAAAATGACTTTAGTTTTGCTCAAAGCCATAGATACAGCTAGCTAAGACAGGGTTGCTGAAGGGAGGGGAGGAGTAATTACTTACTAGCTTTCTACCAGGCATTAAAAGCCAACAATAACCCTCCCCCCACTATAAAACTAAAGGCATTTTCAGATCACTTACTTGCATCATCCGAGACTCTAAAGTGAATTAGTCCTTTCCAATGCATTAAAAAAATAAAAAGGCAAAAAAGCAGAGAGAATTAAATTCTGGCATGGAAAAGTTAATAATTAATATATTTCAAAGCCTGATCAATTATTAATAAGAAAGTCACTGTCATCAATACTCATGTCAATACCAAAATGAATGGAAACTTGTGTCTTTAAAGTATTTTTCTCAGAAGAAATTGTCTTGCAAAATGCAAACAGTAGGATTTAAAGTTTGCTCTCAAGTTTTACACAGGATCAAACATATTTTTTAAGATAAGCTATGAGCCCATGCTCGTAGTGGATCATGCCAGGAGCACGGTGATATCTTCTCAGAAGCCTTGGCAAATGGTGTGAGGGTGAAACCATTGCTGCTTCCTTCTGAGGCTTCCACCTGGCATTGGGGAGCAGTCAGGGCAAGAGGCTGTTACCTTACATGCAGCTGAGAAAGCTGCCAGGTATGGAGCATTTTGGGATTCACAGAAGACATTTTGTGAGGGCAGCCTTCCACAGTTGTGGACTAAGTCTTTCTGTGTGTTTTTTTTTATGTTAACATTTTGAATCTGTTCACGCAAGAAAAAAAACTCCCTAAATTAAAATAGACAAAAATAGAGAAGGGCATGAAGTCTGATGAAGCCTGCTTGCTTTGTCAGATGCCTTTGTTATGTAGAAGTAAACACTGTAGCACTGCCAAGACATATGTTAACTGAATAGCAATGATTGCTAGGGCAGTAACCAAAAAACAAACAGCTCTGGAGGTTCTGGACCTGCCTCTCTCCCTAAATACAGAAATAATGCAAGGAGATAATTCCTTAGGTACTTTAAACTGGGGAAATTTGGTTATTAGAAAAGCTGAGCATCAGCTTAGCAGAGTTACTCCATGGCAGGAGAGCAGATGGGTCTGTCTTGTTTTCAGTAAATGATGGTTGAAGCAGCTCAATTGTTTACAGATTTAAATGGCAGCAGGTTTTCCCCATTTTATGCTCTCATTGGAAGGTGGTTGCTATCCAGTTTTCCAGAACATTGCATGTAGAGTCCAGGCCTTTGCTGTAGAGAAGGTGCTGTGGCACGGGAGGAGCAAAGTTGTCGCTTGCAACTCATATCCTAAACAAAAATGTTCAAAGCCCTGCCATACAGAAGTCCATGTTAAACGAGCCTCCTTAAACAAGCTTGTGGGGTGGTAATGCCTGTGCTTCTGCCCTTCTCTGTGACAACACCCAAGAGGTGGGTGAAGGGGAGTTTGTGTCCAGATCAGGGCTTTTGCCAGCCAAGGCAGCTTTGACCTCTCCTGGTAGTGTATTGAAGAGTACAGTTCATTTTGTGTAGCACACATACTTTGCTCCAAGTTTGCAAAACTTCTTTGCAGCAGTTTTGCCCAGTCATGCCTCTGTTCATGTTTGATCTCTACCTCCACACTCTCCCAGCTAGTCCAAGTGCAGGTCGAGTTTAGTCCAATAAAATGCTAAAGGCTTGATGTGTTCTTTGTGTGCTGATGGTGAAGAAGAAATTTTTTTCTGCTAGTTTAGGGCAGGAAGCTTTATTTGAATAATAAAAAGTATACATGTATTTTTTTAAATGCCTGAAACCATGATTTTTGTATGTTGTTCACCACAGTGTATCTTCCTCTGAATTTCAGTGGGTCTTCTGTCATTTTACCTGCTGCAAAAGAGACAGAGTTCACAAGGCTGGCAAAGGGCAAGCTGGAAACCTCATCAATGCCTGCTTGAAATTTTAGCTAACCTACCTCATATTTGTTCTACTGGCAACTGATTAAATTCTTTACGTGACTATAAAAAGATATTTCTGCATCATCCAGAGTAATTGGCCAGAATGTGTCTGATTTGCTCACTAAATAGCACAATCAGATCATTGACCAGAATATTAAGAAACAAAAAAGAAATCAGTTAAAATATAACAGAAGTGAGGTAGCTTCAATTTTTTCTCCTGCTATTTTTAATGTAAACCACCCACCACTGCGCCATATGTATTTTAGAAATCTGTTTTGAAATTAGAATGTTTTTCTTTCACACACTAGTAAGAGTTACTTAGATGAGACTGGACAGTACCTTACAAGATTGTCTCATGATATATGATACTTAGAGTGTGAATGTGCACCATTCCTGGGATTGGCAAGGGAAGCTGTAGTAAAACATGGATTCAAATCTCTTGGAAGTCCAGCATGGCTGGACTTTGTAGAGATTTGCTGTCTCATCAGAATGGACTTGAAGAGAAAAATGTGCCCAGCAGCATTTTCAAAGTCAGAAGAGCTTGGTGTCAGGCTGAATTGAAAACAGGATTCATGCAGGTTCATTAGAGTCTGTGCATGGAAGATGCCCCTCTTCCAAAAGGAGGGTTTGATTGCATGATTGTAGTCGGGTTTAGCACATCCTTGCCTGGCAGCTGGATCGCACAGCAGGGTGAGCTGGTATTTACTGCATTGGGATCACCCACCTTGGGAAAACAGCCATTGTTACTCTCAGGTGGTGTACCTGACACATAGGTGTCCTGCCAGAAGTCAGCATGGAGAGATGTGGGCACAGGGTAGGTGCAGAATCCTAACGGGGTCCTTTCTTCCCTTGCTTGATTAATTTGAGTGGAAACAAATTAACTGATTGTGCAGACAGTTAAATAGTCATCAGTAGTTTTCAGAGTAAACAGATTAAATGTGAACTTGGCAGACAGGTCACTGGAAATTGTGCATGTGCAGAGACTGGGGAGGTACAAATCTGCACAGCTCCACTGGCAGGAGAAAGAGCAAGCCAAAAAAAGCCCAAAAAACCATAGAGTTACATGTCCCTGTTTGTCTAGGAGCATCTGGGATAGTTCATCTTACATTAGGTGAAGAATTGCTACTAAAAGAGCATGAGCTTTTTTTTTTTTCTTTTGTTTCCCTGCTGGCTGTGGGTGGGACTTAAGAAGAGCTGTAAATGCAAACATGATCTTAACCAAAAGGCATTCTTAACTCCATCCTCATTTGCAGCAAAACATGATGTAATAGAACTGAAAAAAATCCACAATAAGTGTTAATTATAATAATTATTATTACAAGAAAGATTTATTTTAAGGTGAGAACAAGCAATCACTGGAACAACCTCCACAGGGATGTTGTGGGGTCCCCATCACTGGAGGTTTGCAAGATGCAACTGGACAGGGCACTAAATAGTCCCATTGAGGCTCCCTTTCCCATGAAAGGTTGGACCAGATGATCTTTCAGGATCCTTCCAAACTGAGCTGTTACTTGGTTTTACCATTAATACTTTGTGTTTCTTTAGCACTGCTCATCTTAAGGTCTCAGCTCAGTAAAACTCTGGTCTCAGACGAGCCGTAAGGTAATTGTGTTTTATCTCCATGTTGTAGATCTTTGTTGACCAAGGTAAGGATGGAATTCAGTGGAGGACAAACTCAAAACCTGCTTAATAAGAGTAGGACCTGCTGTTGGATAGAGCCTGCCCAGGTGACCTGTTTGAAATCCTTGCCAGTAACTTCAGTGTCCATGGTTGGTGATTTGAGCTGACCTCACTTCTCATGTGGCAGTCCTGAGGCCAGACTAGACCTTCTGTGTACACAAAACTTTGCTTACCTGTAGATCAGGACAGCATTGGCAGGGAGTAGGGAAAAAAAGTGTCAGTCTAAAAAATGGCATTTTTCCTGTAAAACTAGGGAATAGTTTTTTAGAAACTTGAATATTTAATTTAACTAAGCTTACTGTTTCTTCTTTAATGTTCACAGGTATGTTTGGAAAACTGTAGTTCTGGGCCAGGTGCTCTCCTTGTTGATCTGTGGGACTGCTGTTACAAGCCAGTACCTGGCAGAAGTATTCCGTATAGCAACTCCAATGCTGCAAAGTTTCATCAACTATTTTTTGCTGCTTCTAGTTTATACAACAATGCTGGCATTTAGGACTGGTATGTGAAATACGGGATGGGAGATTCTGGTTCATCTCTTTTTTTCTTTCTACATTTTCCTTTCAGAATTTGAAAATAAAGACCTCAATACTCATCCTAGTTTTTAAAGTTCCTACTTTATAGCAACACATGGAAATTAATTTCACAGGTTAAATGTGCATTTAATTTGATATAATGTCATATCTGTTTAGAGTTTTGTGCTCTTTGAATTGAAGTAATGTGTTATATTAGGAAGAATAAGCTTTGTTGTAGCACGCTTTGCTACCAGAGGCTATGTAGTATTCCTTCTCTTCTTATTAATTTGCTCTTTAGACAACTCTAGTCTTGCTGTGTTTTGCTTCATGTGGAAGAATTTCTGTGCTTTTCACCATTTGCATTGTCTCCTCCCAGGCTGTGTTTCCTGTTAAACAGGGGCAGGCAAAGTCAATCTTGGTATTATTTATGCTTCTAAAAAGCAAAATTCCCGTGCAACATTTTGTTGGAAAGAAACACATATTGATTGCTGCTTTCTTCTAAACAGGCAGTAACAATCTTGGGCAGATTTTGAAACGGAGGTGGTGGAAATATATTTTTTTGGGACTGGCTGATGTTGAAGCCAACTACATGATTGTAAAAGCCTACCAGTATACAACCCTCACAAGTGTGCAGGTAAGGACTGATATCTCTTTTTGAACTGTTGCTTTTATTACAGTTTTGGACTAGTTTCTAAAATGAGATTCATAGGACAGATGTGGAAGCTATTTAAGCCTGGAAAGAACTGTTCAGTATCTATTTTCTCTTTGCAGTACAGGGAAGAGCATATTGTATCATGAATAACCTTTCCAGGAATCAGAGAAGATTGGCTGGTATTACCCTGTGCCAACTCTTGAGTTGAACTCTTAATTATTTTGATATAAGCACTTCGAAGAGTTTGCGGACTGCCACTCAGTTTTTTGTCCTGACACAAAATAAAGATTTATGACCAGGTAGCAGTCACTCAGTGCAAGTTCTTGCTGATAAGAGTGAGGTGGATCTCTTGCCTAGTCCTAGAAGCTGCGGGAGGTGTTGTGAGATGTAACCCCCACCTGTGAGGATACACTGAATGTCAGCTGGTGTTGCTGCCCATGCAATGAGGGACCAGCCTTGTGGCTTTTGGATATGGCAGTTCAGGGCCCTCTCTGGAAGAGCTGGAAGGAAGGTCAGCAGAAATAAAATAACAGTAGACATCCTCTGCAACACCAGTGTTTGATGGTAAGTTGCTGCACTAGGATAAATCTTGTGTTCTGAAAAAGCTCTATAAACAGAAGGGCTGAAGCTGGAGTTTCTTTGTCACACTACACAGACAGAAGCTGCTGGAAGAGCCAGTGCTTTCCTGCCTCCAGCTGCTGTCTCCTGAGCTTGCAGCGCCAGTTTGCTTGAACAAACTGACTCGGAACACTGAGCAAAGTGGGAGTAAACCCTGACTTTGGCTGTACTGTTAGTGAGCTTTGTCAGGCCCGAGTTAACTCACTGTGTGACTTCACAGCTGCTGTGGGAACAAGGAGAGGATGGTGCATGAGCAAGTAGGGAGTGTGTCCAGGTTGTGCCAGTTCATGCCTGCTGTTACCAGTGGTGGGGATCTGTGGCAAGGGTCATGGCCCCGCTTACCTGAATAATAAAAAAAAAAGTCATATGAAGACTTGGCTGTTAGTTGGGAAGGAGTGTTTAGGTGTCAGTGTTTTACAGAGTCAAAGTAATAGGGGTTAATATTTAAGAGAATTACCTGTAAAGCAATAAATTCCTGAAGTCGGGGCTCCCTTTAGAGAATTTTCTTTTCACTGCTGAAGACCAGTTGTGTCTCTTGGGTTGTTTTGTCACATTTCCATTTCATACTTATGTGTTACGACTCATTAGGTCTTTAATCTCCTTACAAATAATGCCTAGGAAATCGAAGTTTTAAGAGTCACTTGTTTCAGTCTCAAGATCAAGTTAAGCTGTTGAGACACTATTTGACCTTATACTTAACAGCTGAACAAGCCAGGACTTTGATCCAAGCTCTCAGAAGCAGTTAAGCTATTCCCATGATTTCTTTCTTAGAAATTAAGAAATAATAAATATAATAAGATTGTCATGTCCAAAAACGGTTGCCAAAAACTCAAGTATTTTCTGAGCCTTTTTCCCTTTTGGTAACCTTGTGACTGATGCTGCTTTCTGTCAGTTCAGTAATTGCGATTGCCTGTTGCCCTGAGGTTTCTTGCACATTTTCTGAAGTCACCAATTTCTCACCATTGTCAGAAGTGATATACAGGTTAAAAAAAAAACCCACAACAAAAGCCTGTGATTTTTCTCTAGTGCAAGGCATTTTCTTTTTTTTTTTGGCAAGCAATTTTGGAGCTACATCAGTATCTGTGGTCCAGAGTACCCCAGCCTGATGGCCTCTCTGCAGAACTGGCTGTGAGTGAGTGGATGCCCAGGGACCATAAAAACAGCACAGGGGTTTATGGCACCGTTCCAAATGCAGTGTAATCATTGTTAAAATGCTGTCTGGCTGGAGCTTCAGCTTCCACTATGAAAGGTAGCTTCAAAGATAAGTTTTTTTCAGCTCAGCAAGGAACTTCCATGTATTTTCTCAAACACGCACACACAGGCAGAACTGGTTTCCCTTTAGTTATCGAATACCAGCATTTTTCAGGACGAGTTGGGAGATTTTTAAGGTGATAACAGTGGAATGGCAGCTCTCATTTCTCAGTAAATACAGAAGAAGACTTTGGTCCACAACTGAACTGTTTGGCTGTGGCTGAGGCAGTGCCAGGATATTCCTTGCTGCCAGTATCCTTTTTTCCTGTGGCAGGACTTGGCTGTGTTGCAGTTTGACCACATATTATGGCACGAAGCTCTGTCAGGGGAGGTTTAGGTTGGATATTCGGAAAAGGTTCTTCACCCAGAGAGTGACAGGGGACTGGAACAGGCTCCCCAGGGGAGTGATCACAGCACCAGCCTGGCAGAGTTCAAAAAGTGTTTGGACAACGCTCTCAGGCACATGGTGTGACTCTTGGTGTGTCCTGTGCATGGCCAGGAGTTCTACTTAAAGGTCCTGCCTGATAGGTCCCTTCCAACTCAGGATATTCTGTGATAACAATTCTGTGATTTATAGCAAAAAACCAAACAGTATAGTTGTGGTTTGATATTTTTCACATGTTGTTGGACACATTTATGATTTGCTCTGTAAATAGTTCAGATAGAAGTGTTTTTCAGGCAACTGTTGACAGATTGTCAGCTGATGTAAGAGTGCTAGCCTCAATTTGAGAAAATACAGAATGAGCCCCTGGGGCTCAGCTGGAGGCTGCCCTTAAGGAGCCTTGTGAGGAATGAGCAGGATGAGCACTTTCTTGCTTACAAAGCTGTCTGAAGCTGGCAATTATAAGCAAACCAATGACCTCCAACTATCTATGATAATTTATTAACCATGTATTAAAATATCTTTTAATAATTTACCCTCCTTTTAAAACCTCCCATAAACAGTGTGGCCAAAGCATGGCTTGAGTCAAAACATTTGTAAATCAAATCACTGGTTATCTTACCAGATTTCCCCCCACTTTGTTAAAAATGAAGGCTAGAATTGAATAAGATCAGAGTTTGAAGAGGCTCTACTGGAAATAGTAGTCAGCAACACAGTACTGCTGTAAATGTTGTAAAACCTCAATAAATAAACTTTATTCTTTTAATTGGTTCCATTGACACAATTCATTGTGATATTACATCTGCTTTGCACCTCTTTGATCTTGATCCTGTACAGAAGAGCTCTATAATGTATTAGATGAAGGAAAGGTAAGATCCAGTAGTTGGAAATCTGATTTCATCTGTCTGTAATCGAGGGTAATTGTCTCCTGGAACAGATTACCAGAGTGTATTCTTCATCATTTGGTGCCTGTTGTCCTGGCTGCAAGTCCTCTACCATGGTGCTCTGGTTCTATAGTGTGTTTTTGATCTGGATGCAACAATTCCCCATCTGACATTACTGAAAAAGCTTTTGGCTCATTATATACTACACCCTTACATCCTAATTAAGATGTTTTTTAAAAGGTTTCTACTCTTTCTCTTTGGGTTGAAAAACTGCTTGGGTGTTTGAAGGCTACATGCTAACATCTCAGTTAATGGGTAGTGAAAGCTTACTTGTTAGTAGAAGAGTTGCTTTCTAATGCTTGTAGTATTTCTTGTTTGATAGTAGTCAAAACAGTCAAATTTGCAGGAAATATTAGAGGTTTTCTTGAGTCTAGACTAAAGGTAAAATAGAGAACAAGACCTGTGACAAGACCTGTGATATTTTCCATGGTGTAAAGTTATATTGAAATACTTGATATCACATATTGGTGGTTGTAACATCTCATAATAAAGCCTGAAGAACTTTTACACTTCATAGACTTCACAAACTGGACAAGCTGGAGGCAATCCAAGGAGTAAAGACAAATAGATGGAAGGGTTAGAGGTACTGTTAGGATTTAATCTTTAATAGCTGCTCTTAGCACTATGCTTGTAAGACTTTACTATGTATAGTTATGAATAAGTAGAACCAGATTTATCATCAAAATGTTAACAAGTTTGGTTGAAGCCCTTGGGGACAATGGCACAGCACAGAAGTCGACTGCAGTGGTGCCCTGAGGCAGGCAGAGTCTGGAAATAAGCATTAAGAACTAAGGGCTTTTGTCTTGATTGTAGAGATTATGCCCCAGACCTACTAATCTGAATATATTTTGTAGGGGCTTCAAGAGGCCAAGTTTTAAGAGCTGACATTTGAGAGTAATTTCTGAAGAATATTTGGGAAATTGACTGTATAATCTGCTGTAGGCTGTTCCCTTATGTAGTTTTGTGGCACTCTACTGAGACTTTTCTTTCCTTCGACAAATTTAAAACCAAAATCTATTTCATTGAATTAAATATTAAACCAGTTGTGATTAGCACAGTGGTCTTGATGGTATTTGGTTATTTTAGAACAATATGCTAGTCTTATGCTGCAGTTTGTATTCTTCTGTGTGAAGTATACAGCTAACTCTTGCTGCTTCCTGTACTCAAGGAGAGTAGATAGAAGATCCTTGGAAGTGTCCAAGGCCAGGTTGGAGTGGTTGAGTGGAAGGTGTCACTACACATGGCAAGAGGGTTGGAACTAGATGAACTTTAAGGTCTCTTCCAATCCAAGCAGTTCTGTGATTCTGTGGATGAGTCTAACAGTGAAGCAAAGATACACAGACTCTTTTACAGAAAAAAGAAAGAAAGGAAAGATAAATCAGAGCACATCAAACCCAAAGTTTCAGTGTCAGGTCCTTGTCACAGTCATGTCAATGTAAAATCAGATTACTTGTACCCATCAATAGTTCCATATTTTTACTTTGTGTACATGGAGCCCTGGGGAACAATGCTGTTTCAGAGCAACATCCTGGCATTCATTTGTGAAGCTGCAAAGATTGCTTAGATCCATCATTAGAAGAGTTCCTAAGTCAGTGCTTTTCTACCAAGAGAAAGTGGACCCCTGTTGCAGCTCCTCCTTCACTTGCAAAATGCTTTTAATGGTGAAATATGGGTCTCACCCCTCTCTTAAGCAAATCTACCGAGGCTGCTTTGTTTTCTTAACATCTGATGATTGGAATTAAATTCCTGTGCATTTGTTTTCAGGATGTTGCAGTCCAGATTTGGGGTGGGTTTCTAACTCAAATAATTTTTCTGTCCACAGCTCCTGGACTGTTTTGGGATTCCTGTGCTGATGGCTTTGTCCTGGTTCCTTCTCGGAGCAAGATACAAGCTGGCCCATTTTGTTGCTGTTGCCATCTGTTTGCTGGGTGTGGGAACAATGGTGGGTGCAGACATTTTGGCAGGGAGGTCGGAAGGTGAAGGTAAGGAGCCCTTTATTGTGGGGGGGAAGAGCAGAGAGATGGTTCCTGCTGTGAGCAGGAACTTGTAAAGCAGAAATAGTATCGGATGCAGTTCTGTTTTAAAAGAGAACATGTTGCTATTTTTATTTCTTGTCCAGAAAGAGGAGATGATTTTTTGGGGAGCCGTGCAATTTCTTTGTTTGTATGTTTGGATATTTCTACCACCTTAAAAAAAACCCCACTAGTGTTAAGTTTAAATTTTGCTGCTGTTCATTCGGACAGTGTGATGACAAGTCTCATTCCTGAAAGCTTTTTCACTCTGACTGTCATGTGAGATGGTTTAACAGAAGAAGCTGCCTCTCCCTTGTCTTGTTTATACAGTATCAACCTGCTGGCAGCCAGACTTTTCTGATTTGCAGTTTTCTTTGGGTACTAGTTTCGCATTAAAAGTTGCTCACAGCAGCTGACTTCTCAGAGTTCTCTTTGGCAGACCCAACAGGAATGCTCCATGAGTGCAAGAGGAGGTGGGCTAGGATGCCAGGATTCCTGGGATCTCTGCGAGGGAGGCTGGGCCCTGGGGCCAGGAGCCAGCTGGGTGCAGATAAGGGCAGGTCTTCTCTATAACAGATGCCTAAATCAACCCATATCATAGCGATCTTATTTTGAATAAGAATTTTGAATTTTCAGAGCCAGAGGCTATGAGAGAAGGTAAATTTCAGAGCATTGCCTTCATCAAGCAGCTTAGAGATAAGACTGTGTGGTGTTATTTTGGGGCCTTACTGTTGGTAAGACATCAGACAAACTGAAATACAGCTTTACTGCTATGTGGTACGAGTATCCTGAAGGGAGAAGAATATTTCCCTGAGACATTAGGAAGTTGTGCTTTATTTGCTGACCTGGAAGTCCTTACTGCTGCTTACCCTCACATCTTAGACATATTTTCTTAGTGATTGCTTAGGGAAGGAAATTTTAAACCAATGGAAGGATTTAAACAGCAGTGATCCTCTTGCTATTTAGCTGATGCAAAGAGACATTTAATGATGAGTGATGGTAGCACAGTGAGTCCTGTTTGCAGTGTAAATACATTGCAGCAGGACACATGGTACCATCGGTCTGCAGTGCCCACTTGGGACATGTGATAAACCTGGATCTGAGTCCAGGTCCCTCCAAAATCAATAGACTGAATTTTAGCAAGCCTTGAATCAGGCCTTACTGCAAAAGTGGGAACAGTATTGTCAAAATGCAGAGAGCATCTCTAACTGGGAATTTGCTCAATTCCCTACAGTGCCTGAGGTCAGCAGAAGTAGGATTGGAGCAGATGATACAGCAGTGTTTTGGTGGGGGATGAGATGTAAATGCTGGGTTTAGCTCACTCCAGAGTGCAGGGTGAGGTGAGCAGGCAGCAGAGTCTGTGTTCAGACAGTCCTCTGCACACACAGGAAGGGTTTCCTTCCCCTGGAATGAGCTAGGAAGATAGAGATGTTTAAGATAAATTTGCTTGCTTTTTTAAGGAAAGTTAAAAAGTGTTTGCGGCATTACCCTTATTGTGGATTAATATTTCTGTACAGGTAGTCACGTGGTGATTGGAGATCTCTTAGTGCTTCTTGCTGCTTCTTTGTATGCCATTTCTAATGTGAGTGAGGAATACATTGTGAAAAATCTGAGCAGAGTGGAGTTTCTAGGAATGTTGGGCTTGTTTGGGACTATTATCAGCGGTCTACAGCTGTAAGGATCTAATATTTATTTTAAAACTAATTAAGAATATACTACAGATTATTGCTTCTATACCCTGAAATGATGTTATTAAATTCTTTGTTGCATCTGTATTTGGCATATATGGGGATCCTTCCACTTGAATTGATTTTTGTTGCTGATCAGCATCTGTTTTATATCCTTTTTATTTGCACTACTCTTATTACAGCAGTTCTAAAGCTGAACTCCTGCACTTGAACACATAGGATACTTGGCTGTATTTTTGATTTTGTTGATGTTTGTGAGAACACTCAGTATGCTGAGGACTGTTCATAGGAATGTAGTTCTTAAATAATTTTCTCTGTGGAAAAGGAGATAATTGTTAACAGGAGATCTTCCATAATGAAGCCATGTATACTCTTACAAAAACCACATTTGAATAACAGACCAGATGCACTTAAGTCTGTCTAATGAATTATATAGTCCTCATTTCTCATCATTATAGTTAATAATTTCCTCAAATGGTATATCAAATAAAACTGAATCACTGAAGGATTAAAACGCCTGTGAAGAAGGCATAAGAATTAAATAACAGTGCTCTTGACTTTCAGGCACTTTAATTTTTGTCTTTTTTCGTGCTTATTAGATGTTTGAGCTAGTGTCATTCAGTAAAATTTGAAACAAAAAAAATGAATGGCTTATAGATCAAAATGTTTCTTATATATTTGGTAATTAATTTTTCTATTTGAGTATGATTTTTTTCCTTTTTTATTATATTATATCTTTTCTCTAACTCTAGAGCCATTGTGGAACATAAGGAGATAATGAAAATTCAGTGGAACTGGAAAGTTGGTATGTGTATGATAAAATAATGTGCATGTTACAGAACACTGGAAAATTATAATAATTTAGACTTTGAATGATGGGGCTTTTTTTTCTGAAGAACAAGCAGCATTAATACTGTATTTCACAAGCTTATTTTCTTCAAACTTTGCGGCTCAGCAGAGAGGGTGTGCAGGATTGAACATTAAACCAAGTTTTTCATTTTATATATAACTTGAAATAATTTTTCAAAATAAATTGAAATAAGTAAAAATAAAACCTGTTTAATTACTGACGTGTTTGTTGTTGAAACATCACAATAACATTTTTCTGTTGTCCTTCCAAAATGAAGTACAGGAAAAATTGACACATTTTGCCTTGAACAGAACTAAACCTTATCAAGAAGTTTGACTCTAAATTTCTTCAGTCATCTCCTGTGTTATGTAGGAATGAACAAAAACTTTCTTGTATAGATACAGTAATTCTTGCCATACAAGGTAATCTCCCATGCTTTTCTTACATGTACATTCCCATATCTTTTAGGAGATAAAAATGCATGGATTTAAATCATCTGGAGAACATCAGAATTCTGCCTGAGGAGTAACATGTCACCTTGTTTTGCAGCACTACTGTTCACAGGCTTTGCCCTGTGCATGTTTGGGCTGTACAGCTTCATGCCAGTTGTGATTAAAATTACCAGCGCAACCTCCGTCAACCTGGGGATTCTCACTTCAGATCTCTACAGTCTCTTCTTTGGGCTCTTCCTGTTTAAGTACAAGGTGAGTACATTCATTCCTTCACTTTCACATTCCTTCAGTTATGTTTCTACTCCAAAATTATAAATAAAGTATAATGTTCTTAAATGCCCCAGAGCAGTCGTTTGCACCTGCACACTTCTGCAGCTTCTGTCATTCATTGTTGGCAGGTGTCTGTCAGGAAGAGTCAAGTTAGTTAATGACAGAGCCTCGCACCATTAGCCAGGGAGCCATTTTCAAACTATTTCACACTTGAAGGAATAAGTTAAGAGATAGTAAATAATTTCCTGAAGTGTTCCAATAATAGAGTTCTCACTGAAAGCCCTTTCTGGAATGGTATGTTAGATCTGGTTCATTACTCCAAGTGTGCAAATAGAGGGTTTGAATCTCACTGTCCTGAAAGGCATTTGGTGTCTGAAAGAGGACCAGTTTGATTTTCAGAAAATGTTTTCTTTCAGAAGTTTAATCGTTCATTACCAACATTTTGGAATGAGAATCAAGCTCTCTCAGATCTCTTGCTAAGGGGAGACTAAAGGATCTGAAAAAATACAGATAAATGTATTATTCTGTACACTCTCCAAAAGGCAGTTACTTTTATTGTGCTCTAAAATATTTTTGGCGGTGTCTGCTCAAGCTAAATGACAGTGCTAAAAGGATTTCATTCCACCCTCCACTTTTCATCCAGAATCACTTGTGAGAACCTAGCTCATTTAAGTAATTGGAGTAATTGAGTCAGCCGCTTGGTGACTGGAAGGGCTTTTGAGAGTGAGAAGCTTGTGATCTTTGCTTAGGATCTTAATTTGTATTATTCCATGTGGTTGCTTTCTCTTCAGCCAGAAGCTTTTAGGTCAGATTTGTTTTCTGAAAATGAAGGCAGTGCAGTGTCTGGTAATGGTAGGGTCTGACAGCAGCTAGATTTTCCTTTTCAAGAGTCTCTTAGCTCAGCTTTCCTCCCTGTTTTGGGTTCCAAACTTTGCTCCAACTACAAAGCATCCATTAAAAATAAATGCAGGAAGCAAACCATATTTATGGTCTAACTAAATCCTTTCTGAGTCGCTTCCAAATGTGGATTTTGGCACCCAGATAGCTTAACTCAAGATTATAAATTTATATTCATTATAGTGAAGAGCAAGAAGAGCTTTGGAAGGGATATATGAAAATTTTATTTTTCAGGTTTTTAGCTTATTTTAGGAAGAGCTTTCTTGGGGAGCAGGCCATCTCATAATTGCCAACAGTGAGGTATTCTGTTACCAAAAAGAAAAATGAATAAGCAAAGGCTTTGGGATTGTGCTGAGAGAACTTGAGATATTTATTGAAATAGGAACTGGCATCTGGGGTTAGAAACAATGAAGTAGCAAAAAGGAGAGCAATAATAATGCCACATCTTTAGTAAGATCAGACGATCTGAGACAAGTTATCTCATCTGTTATCTGAGATAACCATGAACTGAGAGAGCCTAATTTTGACATGGCTTCTAGCAGTAGATCTTATTGCCAAGTTAACCATATAGTTTCTTTATGTATGGGGCAAAGAAACCAAGTAGGATGTTTGCTGGATTAAAAAGCACTCTGGATATAGGAATCTACAAGCAAAAATACGGGGAATTAATCTGTATTCCCCATTATCAGATGATATTTCACAACAAACTGCTGGAGGCTTGGGTGGGCTGTACAGTGGAGAGAGCTATAGAGAGCTCTGAATTTCCATGGTCTGAGCCTGCTCTGAAACGAAGAGAAGGATCATAATTAGTGGCTACAGCAGAGACCAGGCCCAGGAATTGATAAAGTTTTGACTTGTGCACAGTGTTTTGCTAATGCACTTAACTTTTTGGCCGGCCCCAGCCGTGTTTTAAGTGAAACGTAAATTTTTCATGCCTGTTTTGAGCTCTTTTTAATTTTTTTCCTTTTACTCCATAATGAATCCTTGCTGTGCTTCCTAATGAACTCATTATATAGATACCTTTAATCTCTCAAGAGATACTGAGAAAGATCTTCACATGCATTAGTAGTATAAACTGCAGTAAACTGCACAAACAGACACTAGATGGAGATACAGTCCTCCAGTAACATTTAAAGTACTCTCAGCAGTGGGAATGAGGATATCAGCTGCACAAACTATGGCTGAAATCAGTGTCTGAAGCAATAAAGTTCTTGCAATATTTGAAATGTAAAAAAAAAAAAAAAAGAAAAAACCCAGGAAAAAAACACTTGAGTTCTCCTCAAAAGGAAAAAAAATAGAGTGTAGGCCTGATGGAGCAGCATGGGTAATGTTCACCTGTGTCAATAAATGCAAAAATACAGGCAGGCCTTGAGTCACAGCTACACTGCATCAGCTTTGGCACCCTGCCTTGGTGACTGTATCCACTCCTGGAGGAATTGACTCATCAGGATCAGAGACACTTCCAGCCTTGTGTGCGCTGCACTGCGAGAGGGAGCTGCAGTTCCTGTGACTGCCCAGCCACAAGTCCTTGCACACAGGGCCTTAGACTGGAGAATTTGTGCAGGTGGTTGGATACAGCCCCAGGCTCTTCCCATTTGCTGGGAACAGGTCAGGGAGAGGTGTGTCCACGGGTGATCCTGCTGCCTCTGTTGGGATAGTTCAGAGCTTGACACTTCCTCCTGTGTAGGGCGAGCACTTGAGTCTGAGCTGCTCCGGGCAAGCAGCCACAACCAGGTGAGGAGAGAGGGCACTTAACACAAGCCACTCTGTTTCAGTCTGCTTTTCCTTTTGTGTGTTGCTATCCAAGAATTTCCCAGCCAAGTGACTGCCAGCTTAGGAATTGCAATGCCTTAATTGTAGATGCCTCAATCTTTTTTGGAGGAGAGTCCACTGTCTAGGTCCTACCATTCATTTCATCCTGATAAACTAGCACATATTTTTCAAGCATGTCTAAGGAAGCTCAGGAAGTTAGAGGACACTGACAGAAGTATGTAGGATATGCTGTGTCCTTCCTCGTAGTGTTCAATCAGTGTGGTTTGACAAAGGGAATATGGAGGATTTTAATAAACCTGCTGAAAAGTGTTCCTGGCTGGTGGATAACTTCAACATTTGGTATTATTGAATCTGGTGTTTCGAAGTAAGTATTTGTCTTTCTGTCAAGGTGGATGAATCTTGGCAGTTACTGGAATTTCAACAGGCAAGTGGACAATAGAGTGCCTGATGTACCTCTGCAATTTGTACTCTTTAGCCCTCATCGCTCTTGACAGCTTGCAAATGCCAGTCTTGTAAAAGGAGCCCCAGCCTCTGTCCCCTCAAGGACCTGTTGAGTGTAGAGAGCAAACTGGTTTTGATCCAGCAGTAACACTCATCTAGCTCTGCAGATGGTTAAGAGATCTGTGCAGAGACCAGCTGCTCTGATGACGTGCAACAGCACAGATTCATCTCTTGCCAGAACCTGAAATACTTGCATGTGCTGGATCAAAATTCTCTTGGGTGGTAGAGTGTTTCAGTATTCATGTGTGTATACAGCTTTCATTCAGTATGACTGTGTTCATACCTGTTTGTTCTCTCTGTTAACATTCTTATATGCAGACCCGAGGAGACTTCCTGTCCAGCAGTCTTGGGAACGAGGTGCAGAGAAAAGCAGCCAGTGGCCCAAGTCTTTAAGTAAATAGAGCTGTTGAATTTTGGTTTTCAGACCTGAATCCACCTCGTGGTGATAATACTCATTAAAATAATTTTTGACAAGGAAGGGTAGCTTTCACATTCTAGAAACAAGGCAGTGTTGGCATGTTCTCACATCAGCAAGACTTAATGCATCTCTTTCTCTCCTCTGCCAGTTTTCAGGTCTTTACATCCTGGCCTTTATTGTCATCATAGTGGGCTTCACGTTGTACTGCTCTGCTACTGGTTGGAAGGCAGAGCCCACGGCCGTGCCGCAGCCGGAGAGCTCCGGCCGGGACAACGCGGCGCTAAAGCTCGAGGAGAACGACAGCGAAACCCCGGCCGTAACTGTGCACTTCACACCAGGAGAAACCGTGGTGGTCAGCACTGATTAAACAAATGGCAGCACTTCAAAACTGAGCTTTTTTTTTTTTTTTTTTTTTTTTATCTAACAGTTTGGTTTTTTTTTTTTTTTTTTTTTTTTTTGATTGCCAAATTTCCCTCAAATATTAATCCAGAGAACTGTCCTACTGCCAAGGCACATGTCATACTGTGCTGGGTTTAGTGCACTTGATAGACTTTTAAGGCCAGATCCTCAATCAGTGAAACTGTATTGATTTGCCCTTGCAGAAAATCTGGCCTTTACACGAAGACAGATTAGTATTTATGTGGAGTCTCTGGAAAGTGAGAGACTGTTGTTTTTAAGTGCTTAATTAACTTAACAACAAATGCTTGGGGGAAAAAACTAAGCCAAAGCAAGTTCCCAGGTTACGTAATGGGGAGCGAATATGTTTTATATTGCATTAGGGACCTAAATCTGCATGATGCTGTCTGAGGGCTTCATGGTTTCCGCTCCTTAGTGCAGGGTGCCCTCAGATAGCATTTTGCAAAAGCTGCTCAGCTTCTCACAGGACCTGGTTCTGCAAGCCATAGTACATTCATACACCTTCTACGTGCCAGTGGACTTCATTCCTCTACAGAAGGATTTGCTGCCTACATTCCACTCAAATGTTCGTCTCTTCACATTGCTGCACTCTGTTGCAGCTGGGGCTGCAACGTATATTTTATTTGAATTTTGCTAGTATAGGAAGTTTGATTATGTGTTTTTATAATTCCTCCTGTTTCTTTCTGTGGCCTTTCGTTTGGTGCATTCCTATTAGCTGTGGAGGAGGCAAAGGCAGGCTCTTCCACTCTTCAATAAAACTGAAAGTGGGCATTTTTTCTGGATGAGAAAGCAAAAAGATTTGAATGGAAGTTCATTTCTCAGTGAATTTTTCCCTGAAATGGGACACATTTCTGCTGAAAGAGTTGTAATGAAATTGATATTTCTTAAAAAAATTGAATAATCCAAGCCAACTGTCATGGCAGCAATAATGACATAATATCCAAAAGGTTAGGTGCTTTCAGTAGATACACTGGCAGTTTTCCTACCCCTCTTTATATTTACAATAAGTGATGAAAAAATACAAGGCTGCAGTTTTAAGATTGGTAAAACCATACTGGGATTTTATTTTATATTTTGTACAAGCCTTAAGACCTCAGGTGTATGAAGTAAAAAAAGAATAAAGTATTCAGCAGCTGGACAGTTGGTCTTGCTTTGCTTATTTTTAAAGGATTTCTTTACTGCTCAAAATTGTTTTCATTATTTTTGCCAACTAAATAAACCTTTTACTGGCTAAGCTTTGCTCTAGAAGGAAATATGACATTTTCTGAAGATACTGGTGATCAAATGACACAGACTGGGTTTCTACTTCTGGTGTAGTTTATTCAAGCAAACATTTCCAGGAAAAATCTTACCTGATTGTTATTTAGCGATAGGAAAACAAAGGTTCAGCAGACACTACAGCAGTGATCATGGCTTTTTCACTGTGTAGTTCATGCACAGAATGGTGAACAGGTGCTGATGTTTTATGGAAAGCATTTTTGTCCTTTCCCATGTAGAATGCTCCTTTTGAGGGGGGACGGTATTTATTTTATTTTCTAAAATTATGTGGCGTATGATCAGTGTAACATTAGGTAGATTTTATCTGAAAGCACAGGGAAGCGTGCCTTGACTCAGGCTTTGGCTGATCTTCAAAACACAGGATCATCTGGTGGCATGGTGTCATTGCTCACACAGTAGCTCATCCTCTCAATATATAGATCACTGAAACCAAAATTGTGTACAACATGGGTGAAATTCTAGGCATAGCCTGGATTTTTAGTTTGAAGGCTTTTAAAATCTGACTGTAATAGGAGGTTGGAATCTGATTCAAGCAAATTGGGCCACACAGGACTTCTGCTGAGCTGCACCGAGAGGGGAGCAGTGTGGGGCAGCTCAGGTTTCCCAGCATGGACACTGGGACACCTTAGTGATTTGACACTTACATCCTGAGTTGAAAACTTTAAAACTCTTTTTCACAGATACAGGCTGGGATTTAATTTCTTATGCTGTGATTTTATGCCATGCAAAAGATTTCCTGGCCTGTTGTGGGGTAACTCAGGTTCATGTGTGCTAATGCCATCAAGAAGGTCTTTCAAGCTCTCAGTGAGAACAAGGTTGATATTTTTTGCCAATCCTGTCAATGACTCTGTTCTTGCCATCCTCATGGTGGCTCTCATTTATCTCCTTGTGATCCTGTTGGATGCAGAGGCCTCCTCTGGCAGCCTGGGTTGGTGGCCAGCCACATGCTGATGGTCATGCACACCTAGAGTCCTGCCTTTAATCACCTTAAATTTCTACTGAGTCCTTACGGAATGGCTGTCTGCGTGGAGTGGAGGCAAAGTTGTCTTACAGAAGAGTTCTGCATCACAAACCAGCACCATGGTGTGGTCCAAGCTCTGGGCACATGAGGCACTTGAAGCCTGACCTTGAAGAGTTCTCAGCATGGGGTGCTGGTCCCTTGAACCTGCTTTTTGTGGGAGTGGGCCAGATATATCAGTTGTCCTTGCTGTCTGTCCCATGAATCAGAAGGAAGTGGGTTCAGACAGTTAAAAATGCATTGCTTCAGAACACAAGTGACACAACATTGCTCATGGGATAACAAATGCTTGGTTAAGGAAACATCTTCTCTTACCTCTGAGACAAGGTGCCTGGGTGAGTCTTTAACATAAATCTTTCTAGAATATTGGAATACGCTCGAGAAAAAAAAAATCTGTCTTGCATTAAATACAGAATCAAAATAAAAATGTGTGACATCCAGCCTTCCTCCAAGGTTCGGTTACAAAACAGCAAAAGTTATCTGGCATCAAAATTATATGGTGTGTTGGGAAGTAAGAAATTAATGTGTCATTAATTGAGTCCTAACATCTCTAGAGCTTGAGGGAGAGGATGAGCTTGTGGACATCAGCTATTTTAAGGTTTTGTTACCTTTTCTAGGTGGCACATACTCAGTTCTGTACTATGTGATGTCTGGAACAAGCACATCAGTTCTTGTCAGTGCCATTCATTCACACTGTTTATTGTGGGATATTTCATTGTGTTATATATATATATATATATATATATATAACACAATGAAATATATGCTTGTTTTGGAACTATCTATTTCAATCAATTTAGGAGGTTTGACAGAGAGAAGCTGCACATGCTCTGTGATCAATCATGAACAATTTTGAGCAAGCAGAGATTCCAAAAAATGCAGATTGAAGGACCCTGCGACTGATTTGGTTTTCCAGCAAAGTACAGCCTCCTGGCATTTTCAGTGCTATACCTGATGAGAATCGAATGAGATATGATGTTGCAGATTTAATGTTTAACTTGAGGATACATCTAAACATAGATTCATCAGGCAAACAGCATCCAAAGTATAGGAACCTCAATCTCTTGAGCTCTCTCTTTGCAGTCTTCGGAAGGAGCAGTTCAGCTCTCCCTTGGAGATGCCAATATTTATTTACTGAGTTTGCTTGTTTTGGGTGGAGTCAAGCCAAACCTAGAGATCCCAAGCAAGTCTTATCGACATTGGTGTCTGTGGTAAGGGGCTATACAAACTGAAACTTTTACAATTTATGTGAGAGATGAAAGAGGCACAGAGATCTTCTCAGTAGCTATGGGAAGCCCATGGCTGGCTCAACAAGATTTTTTGTGTAGTGGTATCTAAAATGTGCATCCTTCACTCCTATCCTGATACAATTTAATTTTTCTCATGTATAAAAGCATTCAAGACTGAAAGTTATAGATTTTACAGAAAAGAGCCAGAAGGAAAAATCTGATTTCTTGTACAACACAGGTCACATATTGCATCTGATTGCTCACAAGGAAAAACAATAGCACTGTACCAGCTACTAGGAAGAATATTAACTCTATCCCAGCCAAATACAGAAAAAGGTATGGGTTTTAGTAATGTTGCAGCATTTATTTAAAATCTTGATATTAAATTTTCAAAGCAATATTGAGTTAATCCCTTCTGGAAGTAGGATTGATTTTATTTTCATGAACTGGCTCTTGGATATATAAAGTATGAAGAAAGTTACAGTTTTCAGAGCTCTCTGAGAGTAAACAGCCTCCAAAAGCAGGTTTCCATGCCCTTTAAGACTGATGTATTTTTGTTAAATTGCCAGCTGGGAACAGTTGTGATATTTTCGTCTTAAATATATGGCCTGGGGTCAGTATCACAGAACTCAGGCCCATGACATCACCCTATTCAAAATAACCTTTGTTTCACCAGCTCATCTCCAGCCCTTCTCCCTGTGTCAGTACCAGGAGCAGAGTTTGTGCAGCAAGGCAGAAAGATCACTGGCACTACAGGTGAAATGTGTGTTTCTTCCCCATAAATCACAGTATCACGGTCTTCAGAGTACTCCGAAGGAGCAGACAACATGAATTGAGACTACATTACAGACAACTTCCAAAGAAGACTTTAAAGAAGATGGCTTTAAAAAATTAGACTTATTATTGTACAAAATGAAATGTTTATGTGAGGTGTTATGATGTTTTCATAGAAATACCAAAGTTTATTATGTACTGATGCCTGGAAACAGTGCAATATCTCCAGAAGTACCCGTCATTGGAAGTTTATGTAATCAGCATCTGGTGGCAGTGGTTGCAGTTCTCTGGAATATTTTTGATCTTACAGCAGTCCAGGGCGATGTTGCTGCTCTTCAGCACCATCTGTTGATGCTGTCTCTAATTATTTTAATTAGGAACAGCAATCATACAGGCAAAAGTGCGGCTTCTCCAGCACAACCATGTAATTCAGTAAATGCATGACCAAGGGGGTGATTGGAAATGGGGTAAACGCAGTAGAAAAAGGCTCCACAAGAGTATGGCTGCTTGCCAGTAGTCCAGAAAAAAATTGGTTTTGCTCTAATCCATTATTCTTATTTAATAAACTGGATCACTCATCCATACACAGATCATTGTAACAAAAGAAGGGATTGTTTCAAATTCTAGCCTCAAACTACTTTCCTTGTCAAAAACCATGGCAAAATTCAAACTGACCGAGAA